AAACGGTACTGTGTGAACGCTGCGCAATTTGAAATCTACCGTTACGGCGGCACACAGCTCGGCGGTGGAGCACCCTCGGTCGTGGTCACGTGATCTAATGGAGAGATAGCGAAGTCTGAACGCGATCTATCGGAATCACTGTTGAATCTAGACAGATTCACACATTGCTCTGGAATACTGCATATGTCACGAGCGGTCTGAAGACATCTGTCACCATGAAAACTCTTTCTCTGTCCCCCCCCCTCCCCTCCTTTATTATGACTCTTTCTTCATTTCCTCCCTTGAAAGCTTAGCTAAGCGACGTAATGGGGAAGTTTCTTTGAGGCTCCACAGCGAAAGAAATCGTGTTTAACAGATGCTCTGTACCTGTTGCGAGTTTTTTAGCGAATTTCTACCAATTTCGAACGCACTAGCGTGAAAAGCATAAACATACCACGGGAAAAATACGAAAAAAAATGATTTACCTTAAACAGAATACTTCGCTCCGGACATCGACGAGGATCGCCATTACTATAGTAGTTGTTAAAGTCGAGGCTGAAATCAAATTATTATCTGCAATAAAAGTAAACAATATCGCACAACTGTCAGCGCATTTCGCTTTGGAGGCGCTACGCATTAGCTCCCTTCAACGTTCAGACCTGCATACTCTTCCTACGACATAGTTCTCAGCGAAATTGTCCTTCTGTGAAAACTCATGAACTGTTGTAAAGCTAATACATTCATGAATAATGAAGCTGATTTTGTACTTGGAATGGAACTGGGAAGCTCCTCTTTTCGCTAAATCTTCATTTTTGATAATGTTTCGGGCATAAGCCCCTCTTTAGATGACTCGGATCTCAAAGGCAGTTGGCACGATGATTTGGTACTCGGTTTAATAGTAATATGCTAGTAGGGCGCTACATAGTGGGGGAAATGGCGAAAGAACGGAGTAACGGTCAAACCTGCGAAGAAAAAGCCTCCGTTCTCAGTGACTTGAAAATCGATTTCGGACGAGTTTCCCGTAGGCATCTTGCCAATCACCGCTACCGAAGATACGGCTGCATATGTGTACCCATGTATGCATGCAGCATCACGGCCGCTTCATAATTTGCTTAGCAAATGAATGAATACGAGCGTCAGGAACGGTCGTCCATTTGTGGGCGGGCGTTTGGGTCGGTATGTTGTGGCTTGATAGGGCCCTTATAAGGGCACCTTCCTTGGAAAAGGCATTATGCAGCGCCTGCTCAGGGTCGCGGAATTCTATCCTGCCAGGAGTATTGATCCTAGTCGTCTTGGGGGATTTATCGTGCCAACTGCCTTTAAGGCAACTGGCACGATAAATCCCCAAGACGTGTAGATTGATCCAGCTAGCAAAACAGAATTCGGCGCCCCTAAGCAGGTCTGCATGGCGCTTTTCCACGGAAGATACCCTTACAGCGCCCAATCAAGTAGCAACATACCGACCGCCGCCCACAAAAAGTTTCTTACCGATTGCTGATCCGTACGCGTTCATCTGCGAAGTGCAATATAAACAGGGGATTGATATGAAACGGCTGCACTGGTGTGGATATATGAGTACACACATGCAGCCGAAGTGCTGAGCCGGTGTTGGTACGATGCCAACGGGAAACTCGTCCGGACGGCTTCCTGCAGGTTTCAGCCATTTTCACTTCGCTTTTTCGTCATTTTCCTCACTATATAGCACACCCGCTACCGCTTTTTCGCCATTTTCCCCACTATATAGCACCCCCGCTACCTTTCTAGACCGAGTACTAAACTATCGTACCTTACGGCTTCAAAACAATACCATGCAGAGCCAATCTCATTTCATAAGTTTACAAAAGTTGCAGGCCTCCTCAAAGCGATTTGGCGAAGCTTCTTCTATTTCGCATTTTCACAAAAGTTTACAGGCTTCACTAAGGTGAGGAAACCGAAGAAACTAACAAACTAGCGAAGTACTCCCCAAGGGAAACAGCGCCCAAATGTATTTCCAGAAGCAAGGACGGTCCTAACATGACAATTGTTGTAGCAAAACCATACGTCTTCTAAATTCCTTTGGGAGTCAAGGAAAAAAAAAGTAGGTGGGATTTTTCGCCGCACGCGACACCAGTTTTTAGCATGCAGCAGTCTCACTGATGTAATTCAGTCGTCTGAACTGAACCGGTGGAGCTATCATAGTCCCGCAACGAAATCACGTACTGTAATTTTTTGGAAAATTCCACCCCACATAGTGACTTCTGTAAACCCGAATCGCAGGCCCACACTTCTCGTTATGAGCTCAACAACTATACAAGGGCTGAGAACATTGCGAAACTATTGTACCTGTTTAATGAAAGGAACCGATCTGTCTCGATGGCCGTGAACGTGGGCATCACATCTTGGGCCCTCGTCCAGTCCATGACGTAGGGAGGCGGTGTATGAATAGTGGGCGCTATCTTGTCAGCACCCTCAATATGAGGTCCACCTTAGTGTAACATATGATTTAGTGAATTGATGATTCGATTAGTATTTTCCAGCCATGACTGTATACGATTGAACGTAGCGAATGGAAAAGCAAAGTGTTATAGAAGTTGTCAAGTAGCGAATGTAAACAAGTAATGGTGCCTTTATGGAAGGAGAGCTTCATCAGAGCAGAGCTGTACCCACAATAAGAAAAAAGAATCTCCTGCATTACAAATAAGAATCACCGCTTCCATATTTGCCAATGTGGAGAACTGGGAGAATGCATGACTGGGGAGAATATTCCCCGGGGAAAGTGTAAGTCTCAATCTGCAGAATCCGGGAATTTGTAAAATATGCAGATGATTGGATGGTTCGCTCTACCAGTTCGCGCATTTTTCGAAATCGCTAGTAGACGATGTCAATCGATTCCCACCTAATTCTTTGGATCGCATTTCTCAAGATTCGCGCTTCATTCGAACTTGCGGGTTCTCGCAATGTATGAACGCGGCCGTATGGTAACGGCGTATTCTGAACAACATACTCTCACAGGAAAATAGAAAATAAAATAAAATAATTGAAATAATAAGATTCAAAGGTGAAAGGTAATGGGAAGCTCCAGCAGTGTAAAAGGCTTTGGAGAGTTCCACCACGCAGTTGAAGCCAAAAAATGAAATGAACTCCCCTTTTTTTCGGCTAAATCAAGAAAAAAATAGGATTGAAGTAGAAATGCATAACACAGGGAGTAGCACAAAATAATTTAGCTCACACCATTCCTCACGAGATATATTGTTAGTCCTGAGTCGCGACACTGCGCTAAAAAAGCAGAGTACAGGGCAGCTAAAAAGTAAGTGCGCCTGAAAAATTCTCCCTTTTAGAATAGCGCATTTTTTTCTGACGAGTTTCCCACCGGATATACTGCAATGGATTCTATGCAATGAATTTCAGTAGAAACATTCAAAGTACCAATGCTCAGGCCTTTTTAATAGACCGATGTAAATCATTTTGGCGTCGACGATATTGGGAGGCTCTTTTCCTGCAGTGGATACTCCGCTCCAAAAAATTACACCTTCCGAAAACAGCTTGTCACAGCGAATTATCCCTTCCGGAGGCGGGCCAATCAATTTACATTTGTTTGACCAATCACTGGGATTTCTCATTTGACCAGTACAATACCTCCATGCGACACACGCCAGCCCTCTATTGTATTTCGTAGACGTTTTGTTTTTCCCCATGGCTCCTTCGATCAAGATAACGTCTAGTTCGCTATGGACGAGGGGGGCGTGTCAGGCGGGACGTGTTTGGCGCGCTGCCAAACCCGTTCTTCAGCAGATGTTGAAGAGAGCAAGTGACACGACTATTTCATATCGTCCGTATCAGTCGCTTTCTTCGAATTCTGTCGCTATTCGCTCCAACAACGGGCAGAGAATGGGCTTGGCGCAGTGGCGCACTCATACTGCCTGACACGCCCCTTCGTTCGCAGCGAACTAGAATATACAGTCTTCGCACATCCGGTAACTACTGAGCCCTTGGCACCCTTTCACGGTATTCTGGACGTTCCCACGAACGATTTCCAGACTCTATGCTATGCACTCCAAGGCCAAGATGTCATCTCTGGCAAATTTCTTTTCAATAAGTGAATGGGATTTCAGCGCACTGATTGACCGTAGATGGCCCGATTTTTCCCTCATGTAAACATAGAATTCTGTGCTGAATGGCAACTTTTGACCAGTTCAGAGTGATATCTCACTTGACGAGAAGTGGTGTCCCCCCCCCCCCTCCCATCTCCCTTCTCCCTTCCCGAGCTGCGCAAGTTACGTGGTCCCTTTCTGACAATTTGTGGTAGAAACAAAAAGGAATAACTGCTAGAAAGAATCGAAAAAATGCTACAACAGGACGCTATCTGTGGGGAGACTGTCATCTTCATTTGAATGCCGACAAAAATATGGAAGAGAAGGCCCCACACTTCCCAGCCGCTAATTATTTTGCATCTAGTTGTCATAGGCCAGATTGCCAAGTTGAACAAATTGGGTCCTGGTGCGAAGACCACACGTGCAACGCCTCTTTCGCGACTCTGGACTAACGATCCAGTGTCATTTCTCATACCGGCTTTGGCGCAACTCTTCCAATCCGGTCTCTCATGATGGGGAAATTTCGTCTAAATTCAGCTTAACTTTGTTTCATTCCACTAGGAACGTAACAGAACAGTGATCCATGTTCCACCAATCGCTTAACCCACCCCACCTTGGAGACTCCGCCCAGATCTAGATCCTGCTAAGGGTGATGACGAAAATTCAGGCATAGGAACATGTTCACCACTGTAAAACGAAAGAATCAAATGAAGGTTAACACGATATTACAAAACAAGTCCAATCATCAGGCACTGAAGGGGTGTGATCTCTTTTGAGTGTACGAGCTGTTTCTGTGGTGAATACGACAAATCTGGAACATACTGTCTTGCTCAGGAAGGTTTAAAACGTTGGTCCAGGGTACATACAGATTTTGATGCAACACAGTCAAAATATCCCTTGGCACGAAGGAATCCGCGAAAGCCGCCTATTGTCTTAAAGGCAGTTGGCACGATAAATCCCCAAGGCGACTAGGATCAATACTCCTGGCAGGATAGAATTCCGCGACCCTGGGCAGGCGCTGCATAGCGGTTTCCCCGAGGAAGGTGCCCTTATAAGGGCCCTATCAAGCCACAACTTTACGTCCCAAACGCCCGCCACGCCCGCCCGCCCACAAATGGACGACCGTTCCTGACGCTCGTATTCATTCATTTGCTAAGCAAATTATGAAGCGAAGGGATTGGTATGAAGCGGCCGTGATGCTGCATGCATACATGGGTACACATATGCAGCCGTATCTTCGGTAGCGGTGATTGGTAAGATGCCTACGGGAAACTCGTCCGAAATCGATTTACAAGTCACTGAGAACGGAGGCTTTTTCTTCGCAGGATTTTGACCGTTTCACTCCGTTCTTTCGCCATCTCCCGCCTCACATAGCAGCCCTACTAGCATTTTAGGCTAAGTAGGAAACCATCGTGCCAACTGCCTTTAATCTCCTTTTTTGGTTTCGAACGTCAACACTTTCGTACCACCTATTAGTTGCCAATACCTGCAAAAACTAAACGACATTCGACTATTCCACTGTTACTGTGTATGAAGCGCAAACTTGGGAAATAATTTGTTAAAGAAGCAAGAGAACAAGATCTATTTCATTCACTACTTCAACTGAAGATGGTTTAGGGATTCTTTTCACAGTCATATCCGGGACAGAGTTTTGGACAAGGCAGCCGCGAATAACGCTTGTTAAGGTTAGCTTCGATTACAGTTTTGTAATGAACTTCTTGAGTGTCTATACTATGACCCCTCATGGCCCCAGAGCACTCACTTTTTCCAGAAGATGTAATGTGTGGAGTGATTTGCGCAGCACGAATGATAACCCTCAATCGATTCCACTGTAAACCCTTGTTAATTACCCTTAATATATACTAGCTACCTTCTATGGGAGGAATCATACAAATATAAAAATTATTGGTGGATATTTGCTCCTCGGTGAGCCGAAAAGCATCTATCGAAATGAGAAGCACAAACAGCGCACCGAAAAATGGGGGCAGAAGAAGGCAATTTATGACGAGGCCAGATAAGTCAGAAAAGTCACCAATTAATGCCGTGTTAAAGCGCTCAGGCTGTTAGCCAATACAACAAGTCAAAAATACGAGTAAATATTACTGGAGAAGACGATGAATACATGCTGATCAGCCGTGGAGCACTTTCAAAACCGCGTTGCGTCCGTCCGCAACTGGGTCGGGCTGCACGACGCCGTCAGTCTGGCTTAGAGACTCAAGAAAAATTGCATGAGGTCGCCTTGAGGCAGATTTCTCTGTTCGCTCTTCATCGTCGAGTTCAGTAAATACTTGGAAAAGGGAGAATTTCCAGTAGATAAGTATGCTAAGGCCAAATAGGCTGGTGTCTTGTACGACAGTGTACTACAAAACCCTTTGACCGGGTTTCTATGCATATCCTGCTCATCGTGAAGTTCTCCCAAGCATATGCAGTCCATGGCTGATTCAAGAGCCCCAGAAGTCTCACAGAGGTTGAGACCACATAATTTGTGGTGCTAATGTAGGGGGGGGCTCAAGCGGTATTCCTCAGCTTCTGCTGCTTCCTCGGCGAGGTAGTGCTCGAAACAGTCCACATATGGTTCCCGGCTTACTTAAAGAGGGAAATCGATGGTTTTGGAGTGGGGAAAGTGAAGCCGAATTGGTGTTTGTAAATTTGCTTAGTGATTTACTGTGAGAAGACGCCCAGTTATTCTCTACGATGTCGGTAGGGAGCTGTTGAGATGAATTCTTTGCTTCTGTGGAACACATCGCATTCAAGAGTGCTCCACTTCAACCACAAGAATGCAGATTATGGGCAAAAGTCGAGACCTCTGGACGGGAGTCTGAACGAGCCAAGTCAAAGCGATGAGGTGCGGGTTCGAACTGCCGACTGGTGTGTGATATTTTGCTCAAACTCAGTATTCTTGTGGTAAACGATTTCGGAGAAGCGAAGTTGCGGCGTGAAACGTAGTTTACTCATAATATAAAAACTTAAAAAAGTGTCACTTATACAGAACGGAGAGGTTCGCCTCAGCAGATTTCTTCTCTTTCAGAGTTTCAGTGAAAAATACTCGAGCACGATTGTTCTTTCGCACGTTTTCAGCGTTAACGTGCTTTAGTTAAATATAAGACCACGCTGGGCGTGTTTATATTCGCGAAGAAATCCTTTCCGGATTTACGCAAAACACGCGATCTATTTGCACGAGGAAGGAGAGAAGAGTAGATGAGTCTCGCGCGAGGTCCTACACCCGCGACCAAATCGTTTGCCCCATTTTTTCATTGGCCGTCTTTTTCTTTGGTGAGAGAAAGCACTGTGCTGGAGCTGTAAGGTACGTGAACTATTGAAACTGCTCCTGGCGGCCGCGTGGTCTTGCACACTGATAAATGATTACGTTTCTGGGCTCAGGCATTATCACAGTACAGATGACCTTAGAAAGAGTCGGGCAAGGAAGAGGAGGGGTCGAATAGCATAGTGACAAAGCGCATCGCACTATCGCAGCGCGCTAAAATCCGGCTCCATTCGCTCTAGTGCCTTCTCCCGGGCGAAGTCTGTGAAATCGACTATCAATCTCTTTTCGCATTGGCACCGACTTCGCCGGCGTTTTGCCAGAGTGTTCGACGACTTTCCCGGCCGATAGAACGCGTTCAGACTTCGCGATCAGATCGCTCGAGCGATTGCGTCGCGCGGTCTCGCAAAGTCTAAACGCGCTCACTCGTTGCTTTTTGCCGTTTCTCACGATCGCAAATAGTGAACAATGCCTCAGTATCGAAATCATAACTTGACCCTTTTCGTTTCAGGGCACTGGTCGGTATGCGTTTGTATCGAGGACAACGTATCGCTGCAACACTTCTGCATGGGGAGCGAGCACAGAAAGAGTACTATTCTTTTGATCGGTCGGTATGGTACGAACCTAAGGTGTGTTCTTTTCGTGACCTTTTGTCTTACCACAAAAAGTCCACTGGTTATTTGCAATGAAGCGAAAAGCAATCTACGCGGCTCGAGGCACTGAGCTCGAATCTGCCTTCAGATTTAGCGGAAATTCTTTTGAAAGAATTGGCTAAGATTTTTCTTACACTGTGGCATCCTTCACTTTTCTCGTGTCCTCCAGAACAGAATTGGAGAAGTTACAGCTCCTAATGAGTGGTCTAGTGAATAGTTGCGTTGGTTCATCGGCACGGGGTTGGGAGTTCGAGTCTTTCGTGCGTGATTTGATTTTTTCTTAACTTCTAGGATGGGTGCAGTGTGGTCCGGTTTTGTTATTTCGCCTATTTACAGTCTTATTTGGCGTGTGGAGAAAATGACCCGGGCTTCGCTGTTCGTGTTTTCTTTGAGGGACATCAGTGTTAGGAGCTGTTACTGGTTACCAATTAAGTTTGGTGTACACATAAATGCGTAAACGTTAAACTACTACCGAGAATAAGCAATATCCTTTCGCAGTGCGATTAACAGTATTTTCAACATTGAGTACGGCCAATAAAGAGGGAACCTGCCTCAAAATCCCGAGTTGCGGTTTGCGTGGCTGCGTACTTGAGCTGAAGTGGGGAGGCTGATCTTTTCGTGGAACATCTTGTTTCTCTGTTCAATACAGAACAATATGACAGTTGTAAATTGAAATATACCACGTTTGACTCATCCTATGCCATTTGAATGCCACGCCTACACCATCTCAGGGATAGGGGCATAGCTGCTCATGTTTGGAATTAACGTGTCCCAGACCCAGTTAGGTCAGGGTAACTCGTCTGAAATTTCACTGTTATGCATTTGCCCATGTGATCATTAGGAGCCTGGCTGAGGAACATGGTTACCGAAGCGAACACCCACGCTCTATTCTATCAATTGTGAACCCCTTATATTTCTGTGATTCGGACGAGTAATCCCACTTAGTAAGCTGTACCACCTGTAGAACATGTTATCGGCAATGTGATCGCACCAACCGACCGCCCACCCAGTAACCCACGCTATGCCATATTCAAATGCCCTGTACTTCGTCCCATGGGTAAGTTGCATATATACAATCACGCTTACCATCAGGAGATATATTGTTGAGAAGTTTTGAGATCGCTACGACCTGCGATGTAAGTATGACAGCAAAGGGGAGGGGATCGTAACAGATGGGGAAATTTTGAGCTGGCACTGCCATTACACATCACTATGCTGTACTTTGATCCACTAGACCACCAATCAGTTTTACCTAACGCTTTTCCAATTTTTCTTGTGGAAGACATATTCTCGTCATCCGGGCAGTTGATTAGGGCGGTCGTCAACGGGCCGCAGCGCGTGCCAGGAACTATTTGCTTTTCCAGGCTAATTTAGTCATTTTTTCCACCTTGTGAAGATAAGGAGCTGCTAATCTGGGAAAAAGTAGCCAAAACAGTGAAAAGTTGGAAAAAATGACTAAATTAGCCTGGAAAAAGCAAATAGTTCCTGGCACGCGCTGCGGCCCGTTGACGACCGCCCTAATCAACTGCCCGGATGACGAGGTTATGTGAAGTGCAGAATACCATACAAGCTCAGCGCTTCAAACCTCGTTCATCGGTATCACTGCAGGACTCACTGAATCTTCACCTTTTGTAATCAAGGGAGATATTGTGAGCAATCGCTGGGCTCTGCGGAATCGAATTCCGCGAAAGACATTAGATTTGGCTCTGTATGGCCTCTTTCTTCACTTGGGCGGAATAACGTGTTCGATTTTTACTTTATTGTTTTCGTCAATTTTCCATTAGCGGAAGGAAGAACACGGCTTCTTGATGCTGTATTGATCAAACGTTGCTGGTAAACGTCTGTGCATCAGAATTATTGAGGCGCCTCCAATTCTCGCTTACAGCTGCAACTCCAGATCGTATTGCAGTAGGGGGAGGGAGTTTATGTCGTATTACCCGACCACACTGCCATTGATTAGCTTGTTACGAGACCTCATAGGACGCGTCTTTTAGGCAAATAACTCATCCGGGTTACCACATTACTGGGTTTTCCTAGCTGTGGACTAGAAGATTCACTGATTAAGAAGTGGCAACGTTAACAGCTACACGTAGTCCATCATTTGCGAAAATCCAGCGGCTTAGTGATCCGGTCGAGTTATCGGAGTGTTGTTTGGAAGACGTGTCACATGACCTACCATAGTACCTCAGTAGCGGTGTTATTGTTCCGTATTCGTAAATGCCTTTACCAGTCTCAGAACACTATCGTGGATATGGGTAATCTACTCCTCTCTATTAGTTTTCTCAGTTTCCTGAGTTGTACTGAGCATTTTATAGTTTCTCTAAAAGACGAAAACAAGACTTGCAACTCATTTTCGACTTCCAGTTTCACATAAGATCATGGCGTTGTTGAGTTTCATTATGTATCATTTCCCATTCAGATCCATCTGGCTTCTTCCTTACTCCAGTCAACCTTCTTTCTTTCTTTCCTGGATGCAGATACTGAGAGCTTTCTCGAAGATTCCTTTGCAACGAGCAATTCGCTCTGTTTACAGGTAAGTAGGTGTTTCAAGTACTTGACACTCAATAGGACACTGTGATGTAATAGCAAACAATACAAGTATGATGTCTTCTTTTGAAAATGGCTTACCGCACAAGTTTTTAGGCAAAAAACCATGCGTTTTTGAACTTCCTTTTTCTGAGACTACTGTATATTGATGTTTTCTTATTCGTCTGTCCTTTTTGTCTTTTTCTATCATGTAGTTTTTATGAGAGTGGGGCTAGAGGTCGGGTGAGAGTAGTTGGTATCTCCATTGGTGGATGTGGTGTTTTGAGAGTCCACCAGCGTTTTGAGCGTACGCCGGCATTATGAACGTTTTCGCGGGAATATTCGATTTTTCGCTTCGATGAAAACGCTGCCGTACGCCCGAAACGGTGGCGCAAAGTATGAACGCAGCCTTACACACGCGCCGCTGTTGCATCTCTGCTCCCAAACGCAAGAGCACTGTCGTCTCGATCCTAAATGGCCTAAGGTCCACCATTTCAAGTATTTGTGGCATGAATATGTTAATTGGTGAAGTCTGAGGGGATTTCGAGTTATAGCCTCTAAAGGATTGGCTTCTTGCTTTATTAAACCCTTCACAGCTTGTGGGTTAGTTGACTAGTTGTTAATCTTTCGGAGAATGTCCGAATGGGGATACTGGACAGTTCGAGCCACTTGTTTTGAGCAATTTGTGCCTCCTATTATTGACTCCCACACTAAGTAGATGTTTTTTCAGCTCTACTATGCCTTTTTCTCATTCCTTATGTCATTTTTTCTGTCAAAAACCAGCATCAATGGTTTACTGCATCGTGGAGGAATGTTCCTGTTTTCGACTAATCAGCTGCAAGAATTTCTGGATATTCCTACTGGTTGGAATCCTGAAAATAAGCAGGTAGGCTCATTACTGATTGCAAATCCCTTTTGTAATCATCGTAGCTGAAGATTCCCTCAGCTATATGCGCAAAGTTTTGTAATCGTTTTCGAAATGAGTAGCTCAATCAGGAAAAAGCTCTTATAGACAGTTCCCGCAATCAAGTGGTCCGCGAAAGCCTTCATATATTTGGCATCGTTGTCCGCATTCGCAGAGAATATACCACTTTCGTCACTCGAAACGGCGAGATAAAGAAGCTAGAGACGCGTGATTATTGCAACCATTGCAACCACGATTACTTTCACTCTGCAAGACAACGGCTTACAAGCGGGATTGCGTGTGTACATAGCGTTGCTTGGAGCGTCGTAGGGTGCTTGGCTGAGCTGTTCCTGGTGAATGCTTGCTCATAGATCCCGCTGACTGGGCTTGCCCGACGCCCGACGAACCCGTCCAAGGCGCCCATTGCTAAGGGGTCTCTGTTTAGAGTGTTCCCAAAGTTGTTTTTTTTTGCTTCTTTCTCATCTGCAGGGTTAACTGTGGGCTACTGGTTCATGATTGAGAACGTACTACCCGTACTACTTGATCGCGGGCATTGTCCTTATTCACAAGTACTGAAAGCGCTTGTTAGGGCGAGTTCTTAAGTAGGTTACCCAAACTAGATTTATGTGTTTTCATCAAGTGTTAATCATCCATGTTGGGGCAGAGGTGACCGAATACAAAAATTCGTTATTGGCAGCTGAATGTTGAGATCTGGTATCCAATTTTCAGCTACTTGATCTTGGTGCTGGAGACGGTGGAATCACAAAGAAGCTGTCGGCGTTCTACTCAAAAGTCTACGTAACTGAAATGTCGCAGGCACGAACTTCAGGTTTTCCAGCTGTTTATCTTCGTTTATTCGGGTTTAGGAGATATATTACAGTAATGTCTTTGCCGTGTGTGGTAGGTTTACCTCAATCAGTTTTTTCCTCTCTTTTTTACTAGCTCTGATAGTTACCTACTTTCCTTAAAGAATATAATTTATTATATTGTTCACTTATCACGTTTTGCACCTTGCGGATATAATCGAGCTTCCACCAAGTCTGACGGGTGGGTGGAGCCATGCAACGAAGTTATTGGTGCGCGGCTTCCTTCCCGCCTTCTTTAACTTGACGCTGAAGGAGGCAAGGCGAGGGGCGCGCCAATGACGTCGTTGACTGGTTCCGACCACCTGTCAATCCCTGACGGTGATTTCAAGTCTGCCCGGATGATGAATACTTCCCACCAGGATTGGTATTATTAAGTTACTTTCTGTCTACGAGCTCGCTTCTTTTTTGCTCTCTGAAAGTTTTTTCCCCGTCTCGAGTAAAAAATGATGGCGGTGTTCTCCACGAAAATTTCAAGTACGGTCCCTCGAGGTGTGTATCGTTATTAATTTATCTTTCGCCATCTTCAGATGCTCCACATCCATTCCTTTCACTTTACTAGTGGGATCTGGTCCTTGAAAAAGATTGAATGAGGAGTAATCTCTTAAGGTAATGCGGTGGCGACTCCGCAATGAAGGTTTCCATGTTGAAGACGTCGAGCAATGGAGTTCATCAACACGTCGGTACGACATAATATCGGCCCTTAACCTCCTCGATAGGTAATTTCATCTGTTTGTACTCCTGTGCTCGTATTTCTGTACTTATTTTTTTTCTTACATGTGGCTTCTTTCTTCAACAAGTGGGAATATTCAGGCACTACAATCCACGGAAATTACTGCGAGATCTTCATTCACTGGCTCTTCGATCGAATTGCAACGTTTTGCTAGCAGTAGTTCTGCCTATCCATCAATACGTGGAATTTCATCCATCCCGTAAAACTACGAAAGCCGGTAAGAACCAGTTATGTTCCGTTCCATATTTGGTTTTTTTTTTCATCCAAACGAGCGATTTTGCATACTTTTAATCATATTGTTTAAAATTCAGACGAGAAGTTGGCTGTAGAAGGGCGCACTATTGAAGAGCAGGCCTCGTTCCTGGTTGCAAGGGAATTTTATCCTGCAGGTTTTGAACTAGTACGATGGACAAAACTTCCTTACCTTTGTGAAGGAGATTACTACAAGGTAGATATTCATCAAGGATTTTTTGGGTTTTCCCAAATAATCTGCAGCAGTAGTTATTCATCTTGAATTATTTATTTGATTACAGCCTTTCTACGTCCTGAATGATGTCGTTTTCTTACTGCGTCCCATGCATACTGGTGTAGAAGAAAACTCACAATCTGCCGATTCTATATATGTACATCATGAGCTATAATTTGATTAATCTTGTGTAGCGTTACGGTAGTTTCCTGTTATGACATTATTGTTTCACAACTGTTGAACTATTGCTGTGATACTGTGGTAACTTACAAGGACCTCTGTCAGGCCTGTGGCCTTAATTCACTTCAGACGTCATGGGTTGTCGTTTCGAATAAATTGAATCTTCGATGTGTCTTACAGTCTTGTTCGCTGCGAGTGATGGGCGTATCATTAAAGCTGGGTTTGGCGCGTCGCCAGCCCGTTCACTACACAAGCTTCTAGCTTCCGTGTTAGCTGCAAGGTAGCTAACTCAAGACGGCGCTCAGTAGACTGTGAATCTGTCCCTGGCGCATGAAAAACACCAGCAATGACACAGAAACAACGCCAAAAAATTGCTTTTTGTCTGGGTGAAAGAATGTCATTGTATTTTGAATGTACTGTTATCAGGACTGGTCTGACGCTATGCTATTGAAGCACACAACGATCATCTGCGCTCTGTTAAGGCCGAGCCTGGAATGAAGACATGACTCCTTCCATGCTCAACCTTAGCAGAGCGCAGATGATCGTGTTGTCCTCCATTAGCGCCAGCGCCAAGAATGAATGTCATATTCGTAAACAGGATTTCAAATAACCCCGTATACAAGTTTTCATTTGGTTTGGATGATCTAGGGTATCTTGGCGCCGGACCTGTGGCTTTTTCGGGCCGAACGGATGTGATATTCGTGTTCATGAGGTCAAACTACCGGTGGGAACAAGTTTTCAGCCAGAGTTTCAACATACACTTCATGAATGATGCCAGCAGCCGAAATTGAGTAGTGTTCAAACGGCATCACTCCGAAGAGAATGAGGAGGAAATATAGGTTGTGGGTCGCCACAGAAGCTTCGCCCACCATCAGGCAGCCCTGCCCAGAAATGAACACCAATGCGTTCATACCTGTATAAGAACCTGTCTGTCTCATCCATCATGTTTCCCTATCTTTTATCTAGAAATACTAGCATTCACAGATCCTAACTGTTGCCCACTGGACTCACTGAATGTGTTTTTGAGCGTTCGTCCAGACAGAAAGCTCTGCCTAGAAACCCGATTCAAAGCTCACATTTTTCAAATATGATTTCATCTGATTAGTGCTTTATTAATAATAAGACTGATATGAAAAGTAAACAATGGCAAATAAAACTATCTGAAGTGCGTGGAAGCGAGCGTGACGGTGCTGCTTGTGCGTGTAGATTTCATTTCTTCATTCGTGATACCAGAGAGACACTGTAAGAGTAATGTCGATACCTAAGCCAAAGATGTACTCTAGAATAAAACTTACGGTGTTTTCAGCCGAGATGCTGGTGTTTTAGGTGCCGAGCTACTTCTCCTGCAAATTCAAAAAATTATGCTGTTACTAGGGAAGGTCGCCAGGTCGAAATGGCCATTTGTAATGGGATACAGCTCAGGCTACAGCTGGTTTTGAACGTTGATCTCAAGTCTGCTTTCGAAATTTGCAGAACAAGCAATAGTATTCACTACTACATCACTGCCCACCTAAACTTGCCTAACAAAGAGTTTGAATGTAACTATTACTACGCTTGGGTGCACTGTGATCTGGAAGAAGAAATTTTCGCGTTCAGCAAAATATGTTCACGTTCAGCGGGTCAAACTACCCTTCGAGCACAAGTTTCTAGCCGAATCTGGCTTTCGACCTTACTTGGTAAAGTGGGGCGTCCATGGGATGCAGCTCAAGTCATGTTAACACCTACTCAGCCAGTGGTACATTTTCCTGCACAAGGCCTCGCCATTTCTGGCACGTTCATTCTATTACTGCTCCAGTTTTCCTGATAACTAAAGGCAAATTCTGCCCGAAGACAAACCATCGATGACAGACTGCCCCTAGATCACAGATGACTATGGCTGTAAA